GGGGGGGGGGGGGGGGGGGGGGGGGGGGGCGGGGGGGAGGGGTCTACACAGGCAGAGAGAAGGTGATTAGAAGGCAGTCCAGTTTTGTCTCTTCTTTCCCAGCAGTTAACATCCTGTCTGTGTCCTGTCACTGTGCATTGGCCACGGCGCTGCCATTGCAGGTTGAAGGGCCAATCTGGGGCCCACCACTGACCCACGCTGGTCGACAGCTCCTCCCTTAGGTGGATGGAGCGTCGTCTGTGAACTAAGTTTACTGAGAGTTTTAAAAAATTTATTCTTTTATTTATTTATTTTTTAAATTTTATCATTACACAATGTAAGGTAAAACATTTTTTGTAGCACTGCGTTTTTTTGTTTTTTTTTTTCAATCAGGAGTGGATATTGGATTTTACCAGATGCCTTGTTCAGATTTGTTTTTTACCTTCTGATTTTCTGATGTGTTGTGAGGGTAGCTCAGAGTTAGGCCTGAGCAGGCCTATGTGCGAGGCAATGTTGGATGGTTCCTGGGGGTTGTGAATGGTCCTCGGGTGGAGGACTGGGGCTGCAGTCTGGCGGCAAATGCTGCCACCTGGGGAGTTGCTATGTGCTAGAACAGGCGTCCTGGTTGTGGTTGCCGATGCAGTTCAGGAGGAAGGGGCCCCAGCCCCAGAGCAGCCATTCTAACAAGCACTGTCTCTCTCCTGTCCCATCCAGAGCAGCGACATGCCCCTTGATGAGCTGCTTGCCCTCTACGGCTACGAGGCCTCAGACCCCATCCCTGAGCGGGAAAGTGAGGGCAGCGATGTGGCCTCCAACCTGCCGGACATGACCCTGGACAAGGTGAGCAAGGGTCTCCCTGAAACCAGCCCCAGCCACCAGGCAGGAGCCAGCCCGTGGATGGTTGCAGGGTAGTTCAGCAAGAGAAGGCCTCAGCACAGGTAGAACATGTCAGCGGGTGAGACCAGTTGCAGATAGCTCCCCTTGCTGTGGCTGGCACAGCCGTGTGACACCCATCCAGGGATGGGGGCCCGCAGGAGCGGGGCTGGGGCAGAGGGACCCCAGCTCTGGCTCTGGTCATTCTGGCTTGGGTGGACGGAGGGGTGAGCAGAGACCGCCTTGAGAAGTGCCTCTGGGCAGGGCGATGAGCCAGTGACCTGCTCCCACCAGAGGGCATGGGTCAGGTTTGGGGGCTTCACTGCAGAAGCCTCAAACCAAGTGCACGGGTAGAGGCCAGTGCCAGTGCTAACTGCCCTGGCAAGGGGGCTCAGTACAGTGGCTGCTGTCCTGCTGTTGTTATTGTTAGTGTTATCTTGAGATTGTTGGAACAAATTGCAGAATATTCTTTACTTTCTTGTTAAAAGGAACAGATAGCGAAGGATTTGCTTTCAGGGGAGGAAGAGGAAGAGACGCAGTCCTCAGCCGATGACCTCAGCCCGTCTGTGACCTCCCATGAGGCCTCTGATCTTTTCCACAACCAGAGTGGATGTAGGTGTCCCTGTCCCCTCCATCCACCCGAGCTGCCCGTGCAGGGCTGGGGGCAAAGAGCATGTGCATAGGTGGGGCATCCTTGGGGGCCCTGGCCTGGGAGCTGAGCCTCATTGGTTTTTGTTTAAATGGAGAGGGAGCGTGTTGATTCCGTAGTAGATCCAGGGGCAGCACCTCCAGAGTCGCCATCTTCCCTTGTCTGCCAGACTCTGTGCAGGCTTTGCCTGGCAGCTGGGAGCTAGGCCTGCATGCAGAACCTCTCCCTGCAGAGCTGCACCCTGCGTCTTGTGCCCACCAGGTCACAGCGGGGGCCAGGTGGACAGAGAGTGGGGGTGGAGGGGCTGTGGCCACAGAAGGGGGGTGCATGCTGCAGGCAATGGAGGCTGGGGGGCACAAGAGCCGGGCACCTGCCCCAGCATCGTGCCCAGAGCTGCAGACATGTCTTACGGACTCACCTTCCCCCACAGCCCATTTCCTGGCTGACCAAGACAAAGGTCCCAACTCATCTGCCTCCTCCGACACTGAGGAGGACTCCCTTCCTGCCAACAAGTGTAAGAAGGTGCGTGGCTCTGTGTCCCCTTGCCTGGGCGTCCCCACTGCTGTTCCCTCAGCTGGGGTTGGTGCCCTTCTGAGAGGAGGGGACGAGCTGCGGGAGTCCTGAGCAGTGGGCTGGACCCAGAGCCTGTGCTCTTGCAGCTGACCTGGCACATGTCCTCTGATCTGGTGCTGTGGCCCCACCATCGTGGGGGGTGCCTGCTGGGGACCCTTGGCCTCACATTCACAGCCCCGGGCCTCCCCTCCTGTCCTTGACCCCAGCCCTGGATGCCACCAGGCAGAGTGCCCAGCTTGGCCACCACCTCGGTGCCTGACTTGGGGCCTCTGCCTTGTAGGAGATCATGGTTGGGCCTCAGTTCCAAGCCGATCTCAGCAACCTGCACTGGAGCCGGCACGGAGAGAAGAGTAAGTAAGGTCCAGGGTGGAAACCCCACGCAGTACCTGTGGCTGCAGAGAATGGCCTCGCTGGGCCCAGCAGGCCCAGTGCCCGCTCTGCACAGCCCACTAGGGCGGCTGAGCTTGAGGTGCTCGGTAGGCCAAGGCTTGGACGGGGGTGCCTCACTGTGCTGTCTGGGGGCTGTTGGCACCTGCCCTGCTCACCGTCCCCCTGCCCCACACCCTGTGGTCCTGTCCCCTGTCCAGACCTCCGCTCCACTGTCCTCTGCTCCCCCCTGGGGGGGCTCCAGCCACCTTCCCTCCTGCCCCCCGCCCCAGGCTGCTGCCGGTTCCCTCTGGGCCAGAAGCTCTTCCCCACACAGCCCGTGGGCCAGGAGTCCTCCCTGGCCGTGCCACAGTGTCCCTCTGCCCAGCTTGGTTCCTCCTTAGGCGCTCATGTAGCCTGGACTTGACGTGGTCTGTCCACTAGAATTTAGAGCCTTCTCAGAGGCCTGGGGTCACCAAGGCCTTGCTTTCTTTCCCTTGAGCCCCTGGAGGCCCCTGTTGGAGGCATAGTTTGGGTAAAGGATGGAGGTGGGAACGTGCAGCTGAGCTGGGAGACCAGGAGGCAGCGTCACAGGGACACAAGGCCATCCCCTGGGAAAGCCACCTCTGCAGGTTCCTCAGCTCCACCCAGGGGCCCCGGCCTCGGGTCTGTCATCTGACCCTTTTCCTGTCCCGACTCACCGCCACACTGTGCCCTGCTGGGAACAGCCGGTCCTCTGGGTCCTCTCGCTGTGTGCTCTGTCTGCAGACTTGGCTCAGTCCTGCGGTTCCACCGCTGGCGGACAGGATGGTTGTTTCTAGTTGAGGGTGACAGATGTTCTCGTGTGTGACTTTGGTATTAGAGAGAGAGCTGGGTGTCACCTGGGAGGCATATGTGTAGGCTGATAGATTCTGCCTGAGAGTTCCCACAGCTGTCTGTGGAGTTCCAGCTGCTCCACCTCCAATCAGCTTGATGCTGTCTGTCCTGTTGATTTTAGCTCTTCTGGTGGGTGTGGACTGCTGTCAACTGTTGGCTTTAGTGACGTTGAGCATGGCCCATGTTTCTCCTTGTTGTCTGGGGGTTCTCTCATGTGTCTGTGGGCGTCGTTCACATGTTCTGCACACGAGGCCTTGGCTAGCCATGTGCGTTGCCAGCGCTCTCCCGGATGTGGCTTGCCCTTTGTCTCTCTTAGTGATGCCTTTAATTTTAATAAAGTCCAGCTTCTCAGTTTTTTTTTTTTTTTCCTTTTTGTCTTTTTTCGTGACTGGCAACGGATCGCAACCCTCAGTGTTGCGCCCGTACCGGACCGGGACCGGCAATGGGATCGCACCCCTCGGGGTTGCTCCCGCCCCTTGCTCAGCCAGTGAGCAGCCGGTCTGTATGCGGGATCCGAACCCTCGGCGGGAGCGCCGCCGCGCTTCCCAAGCGGCGCACTGTAGCAGGGCGCCACCGGGCCGGCCCCCAGCTTCTCAGTTTTTTTTTTTTTTCCTTTTTGTCTTTTTGCGTGACTGGCAACGGATCGCACCCCTCAGTGTTGCGCCCGTACCGGACCGGGACCGGCAATGGGATCGCACCCCTCGGGGTTGCTCCCGCCCCTTGCTCAGCCAGTGAGCAGCCGGTCTGTATGCGGGATCCGAACCCTCGGCGGGAGCGCCGCCGCGCTTCCCAAGCGGCGCACTGTAGCAGTGCGCCACCGGGCCGGCCCCCAGCTTCTCAGTTTTATTTATTTATTTATTTTGTGGCTGGTTGGTATAGGGATCCAACCTTTCTGTAGTGCACCATGCTCTGACCAACTGAGCTAACTGGCCAACCCTCAGTCTTATTTTAACGATAATGTGTTTCTGTGCTGTTTGAGGAGGCTTTGCTTACCCCAAGGTCTTGACGATATTTCCTCCTAGAAGCTTCATTGTTTTCCTTTCACGCTTAAGGCTGTGATGCAGCTCAATCTAAGTTTAGTGCATGAGGTGTGGGTCGGGGTTCTTTTCTTCCATGTGGATGTGCAGTTACTCCAGCACCGTCTACACCTTTGTGGACCACCATGTGTCTGTCATGCGGGTCTGCTGGGGCTTCCATCCCATGGGTCTCTTGTCTGACCCCACGTCATTACTACGCTGTTGTTCTTGCAGCTTTGAAGCAAGTCTGAGGCGAGGCAGGTCCTTCAACTTTGTCAGTTTTCATTGTATATCTATATAAGTTGTAAGATTCGTTTGTCTGTTGCCTCAAAAACACCTGCTAGGATTTTGATTAGGCTTGCATTGAATCTTCAGATTAATTTGGGGAGAATTGGTATATTAACAATATTGATACTTCCAGTCCATGAATATGGTTTATCTCTCTGTGAAGATCTTTTAATTTTAGCAGCATTTTATAGTTTTCAGTATAGCAGACCTGTGCATATTTCATTAGATTTATTTATTGGTGCTAATATAAAGGATATTTTTGTAAAATTTCATTTTCTACTTGATTGTTGGTAGTAGAAATGCAATCTGTTATTTTTAATTGATCTTCACATGGTGACTTTGCTAAGTTACTAATTTCAGTACTTTGTAGATTCTTTTTTTTAATGTACACAATCATGTCATTTGCTGATGATAGCTTTGCTTCTTTCCTTATAGACTTTATATCTCTTATTTCTTTTTCTTGATGTATTAGACTGTTTGGTTCTGTACAACCTGAAAAGAAGTGGTGACAGAGGACATCCTTGTCTTCTTCCCAGACTGGGGGAAATGCTGAGCATTTCCCATTAAGTGTGATGTCAGCTGTAAGGTTCTGTAGGCACCTCTTTGTCAGATGAGAAAGTCCCCTTCTGTCACTAGTAGCTGACAGTTTTTGCCATGAATGAGTATTGGCTTTTATCAGACGCTTTTCTCAAATGGTCAGTCTTGCTAGGGGCTTGTCAATTTTACTACCTCTTCACAAAGAACTAACTTGAGCCTTGTTGGTTTTTCCTCTATTATCTGATTTCTCTCTGTGTGTGTGTGTGTGTGTGTGTGTGTGTGTGTGTGTGTGTGTGTGTGTGTACGTATGCATTTTTGTGGCTGGCTGGTAGGGGGATCCCAACCCTTGACCTTGGTGTCGACACTGTGCTCTGACCAGCTGAGCCAACTGGCCAGACAAGGACTGCGTTCTCAGTATTTCTCGTGACAGTCTACAGGGGATGAATTCTTTCAGTTTCTATTTGTCTGAAAAGTCTTAATCTTGCTCTCATTTTGAAGAATGTTTTCATGCTTCTCTAGGTTTGCAGGCTACTTTCTTTCAACACTGGAGCAACTTCATCCCGTTGTCTTTGGCTGCTGTTGAGTCTGTTAAAAAGTCGGATGTCTGTCTTTTTCCTTTGAAGTAATTGTGTCCTTTCCCCTGTGTGATTATGAGGTTTCCTTCTTTCTCTTTTCCCTAGCAGTTTGATGCGCCTGTGCACACGTGTCGTCTGTTTCTTGGACATGTGGTTGGTGTCATTTGTCTTGTTAGAGAATTCTCAGCCATGTCTCTTTGGGTTTTGTTTCTGCTGCATTCTTTCCCTGCTTCTTCTGTGACTCAGATACATGTATCTAAACTGTGTTCTTTCTCTTTAGACTTCAGTTTGGGTATTTTTAATTGATTTCTTTTTGATTTTGCTCATCCTGTCTTGGGCTGTCTGGTATTGTATGTTCTAGTCGAATGTCCATGTGGTTCTTCCGTATAGACGTCAGTTCTCTGATGAAATTCTCCAGCCTTTCATGTGTCTTACCCTTTTTCTCTGTGTTCCTTATTACCATAGTAATCATAAAGTCCTTGTCTGCTGACTCTAAGCTCCTGCCGTTTGTGGGTCTGCTTGTATTGTCAGGTGTTTTTTCTCACAGCTTCCTGCTCTTTACACGCAAGACTGTACACTATGTGATTTTTCTCCAGAGATAGTCCTGCTCTCCTCTCGGGACCACTTTGGTCCAGGTGGGGCTCGGGTGCTGACTGCAGGTGGAGGGAGGTGGTCATGCTGTCTGTGGGGTCCCTATACCCCATGAGGCTCACAGCTTCAGCCCAGGGGTTGTCTCTTGTGGTGTCAGTGCCCCTGGACAGTGGAGACTTTGCAACGTGGAGCAGTTTTCCTGAGTATTTTCCACTCTTCTCTTAATGCACTGGGTTTTCTTGTTTGTTTTTGGTTGGTTGGTTTGTATTGTTTAGTTTTTGGCTCCTGTGACTCTTTCCTGGATAATTGAGAGGCTCTGACACCTGGGACCTCCCCAGACCTGCTCTTGAGCTCCCCTCCCCCTGGAGGGAGGCTGCCCCCTCCCTGTGCTGAAAGCTGAAGGCATTGAGTCCATTTCTTTCCTCCCCTTCCTAAGTGCACCTGCCACCCCCTCTGTCCCTGGGGCAGGACATCTCCCTGGTAGAGGTGCACACTCTCACATGGCTCTGGTGGTCCTCCAGTTGGCAGTGGGAACTCCTGCCGTAGGCTGGGCTGCTGGTCTGTGGGACCTAGCCCTCAAAGCTCTGTCCAGAGTCCTCGCTCAGGGGTCCCCTTCCCCAAATGCAGGCAGCTGCTGCCTCCTCCAGCGGGTCGCCCCTGAGCCCACCTGGGTGCCAGGACCCACTTGAGACATTGCATTGATCAGCCCTAGGCCCAGGAGGAGTGCAGAGATGGTGGGCCCAGAGTGCAGGAGCGGGAGGGGTAAATTAGTGCCGGGCCCCTTCTGGAGGTGCTGAGATGCCTGCCTGGCTCATGCTGGGGTCAGCGTGGAGCATGCCACCCCTGACCCCTGCCCCCTCCTTGTGCACAGTCTATGAGAATGAAGACCAGCTACTCTGGGACCCCAACGTGCTCCCTGAGCAGGAGGTGGAGGAGTTCCAGTACAGGGCAGTGAAGCGGCACTGGCACGAGATGGCTGGGCCCCAGCTCCCAGCGGGAGAGGCAGTGAAGGACAGTGAGCAGGTGGGGCAGAATGAGGGGACTGGGCACGTGTGAGGGGTCCCAACCCAGTGATGCCGCTCCCGGGGTGGTGGGGTAGACGCCCCCGATGCCGCTCCTGGGGTGGTGGTGTAGAAGCCGCCGGTACCACTCCTGGGGTGGGGTGTAGACGCCCCTAATGTCGCTCCCGGGGTGGTGGTGTAGACGCCCCCGGTGTCGCTCTGAGGGTGGTGGTGTAGACGCCCCCGATGTCGCTCCTGGGGTGGTGGTGTAGACGCCCCCGATGTCGCTCCCAGGGTGGGGTGTAGATGGTCCTGATGTCACACCCAGGGTGGTGGTATAGACGCCCCTGATACTACTTCTGGGGTGGGGTGTAGACACCCCTTGCTTTGGCTCCTGGGAGCAGGCAGGAGCACCCCATGGCTTCTCCACAGGCGCTGTACGAGCTGGTGAAGTGCAACTTCAATGCCGAGGAGGCCCTGCGCAGGCTGCGGTTCAACGTGAAGGTGATGCGAGGTGAGTGCCCCTGTCCCCACACTGTCCCTGCTTCCCACCCTGGCACTGACCCGGCCGCCCTCTCTGCAGATGGGCTCTGCGCCTGGAGCGAGGAGGAATGCAGGAACTTTGAGCACGGCTTCCGCGTGCATGGGAAGAACTTCCACCTGATCCAGGCCAACAAGGTGAGCCCCTGCCGCACCTCCCACCTTTGCAAGCGGTCAGGACTGAGCAGGCTCCCAGGGGACACAGATGACCCGGGCCCAAAGCCCCACTGCATCTTTGCCCCGTGCCTGTCGGTGTCTTACCTGGTGTCCTTTGCCCTTTCCAGTCCCCAAAAGAACAGGGCTGTGGTTTGGGAGAGCATGTGCCAAAAGGTGAATTCTAGCAGTTGTGCTTGTCTCATGAGCCAACCCATGGTCACAGGCTCTGAGTCTTCCTCTCCATGTTCTTGGAGCTTAGGGCCCCAGCCTAGCTCTCACCTCGGCCAGTGTTGTGGGGTGAGGGTCTCCTGACAAACCCTCACAACAGGACAGGCAGCTGCTGCCAGGTGCCAGGTTCCCCTCCCTTCCCTGGACCCGAGTCCTTTATGGGTCTCTGCAGTCCTGAAGCGCAGCCACCAGCTCTGTGGCTTCTTGATTGACAACTTCCAAGCCACCCTCTTGGCAGTCTTGGTGCCTCTGGCCAGCAGCCCCAACATCTCTGCCTGAAGGCCCTCAGAGGCTCTGCCCACCTCCCAGGTGGTTGTTCAGTCCCTTCAGGGCCAACAGCCCAGGACCCTTTTCTTGCTATGCCCGCTGCAGCCTATGCTCAGGGGACGTGCTCATTTTGGGGCCATGGTGTCTTCCTCTGGGGGCTGGAGTGTAGTAGATGCCTGCCTGGTCAGAGGTCAGCACCAAGATGCATCTATGTGTGGTCCAGGACGTGTCAGGATGTGTGGCAGCCTCAGTCTTCCTCGTGGGCAGATAGGACTGAACAGTCCAGATATGCCGTATGTGGTTCTTGGAGGGTCAGCACTGGGGATCCTCCTCCGAGGTCTCTCCTGTTGGTTAGGAGCAGGATCATTAACCCAGAGGACGTTCAGGTTGGGCTGCAGCCCTGGCCTGCTGTAGGAGCCACACCAGGCTGCCACAGGAGGTTCTGTCGGGTGTGCAGCTATGCGTGTGTGTGTCGCTGGCTTTCACGCACTTTGTTGGAAGTGACTTTGAGTCGGGTTCACAGGCCCAGATGTGTCCTATCATGGCGCCTTGTCAACGTGGCCTCCGTGCTCAGTGGGGAAAGCAGGGCCTGTGGGCATGCAGGTTTCCTCTGGGGCAGGTTGGAGTGTCTGTGAGCTCAAGGCCTGTGAACAGGTGGGAGAGGTGTGTGCGCCGACCCTTGGGCTCGCAGGAGGTGGATGCTAGACCAGGGGACCTGGAGTGTGTGTGTGTGTTGGAGGTGGGGGGCTGGGAACAGGATGCCCAGGGCCAGGGGTGGCCATGGCCTCGGGTGTGGGGCCGGGGGCAGGGGAGGGCTGTGGTGATAGCCTCCTGCCCGCCCACAGGTGCGCACACGGTCGGTGGGCGAGTGCGTGGAGTACTACTACCTGTGGAAGAAGTCGGAGCGTTACGACTACTTTGCCCAGCAGACGCGGTTGGGCCGGAGGAAGTACGTCCCATCTGGAACCACGTGCGTGCACTGCTGCAGAGCCAGCCGGGGTGGGCGCGGGGGCACCTGGGCGGCACCTCTGGGGCAAGGGCCTACCCTCCCTGCTGCCCTGTCCCTCACGCGCCCTCTCCCCGCAGGGACACAGACCAGGACCTGGATGGTAGCGACCCCGAGGGCTCCAGCCGCCCCCGCCCCGAGCAGGATCCCCTAATGGGGATGCATGCAGGTGAGAGCTTGGGGACGGTTGGGGGACTGCCAGGGGCCAGTCGAGGCCGACTCAGGCTGGCCCATGTTGTGTTGTATCCTTGCTGAGAAGGAGGAAGGGATCTCACCACCACCTGGGCTGCTGGGGGAATGTGCAGCCCTGGCAAGGCCCCAGGGTGGGGGATGGGGGCTCCTCTCCAGGCCTGCGTGTCCACAGGGGGTGCCCGTCTGGGTGGGGTGCTCAGCCCCAGCCCGCTCAGGAAGGACAGGCTCTGAGCCTCCCTGGCACCCTGGGCCTGAAGGCTGTGAGGCGGGTGCCTGGTGGTGACTACGGGGGTCCCTCCTGGACCCTGTGCCTCTGTTTACTGGGTTCTATGGTTTACCAAGGAGGGCATCCGTGTCTGCCTCATCCCCAGTTGTGTGTGATGCATCTGTGTGCCACGTGTTGGAGCACATTTCTGCAAAGTTCCGGACTTACCTTTAGTCTACAGTGCTGAGTGCTTTTTTTCTGAGGTGTCTGGCCAGTAACCAGCTGAGCTAACCGGCCAACCCCCTTTTAATTTTCTGAACCTGTTGTATTTTGTTTTTAAAGACGCAGGTTGTGATCTGCTGAATTGACTTTACAACCCAGGGTCCACAGACTTTTGTAGATCTGGCTTGTTTTGTGTTTGTATGTAAACATTTTTTTGAGGAGAGGTCCCTGGGCTTTGCTAGACCCCACAGTGGGTCTCACACGAGGTGCACATGTGGTTTTCGGGGTGGTGTGTCGTGCGGGTTCTGGGCTGGCGGGGCCGTTTGGGGCCTGGAGTCAGCAGATGGCCTCAGCCCTGTTCTCCCCTCACAGAGCCGCCGAGTGTGGATGGCACAGCTGGGGATCCCAGCGAGCCCAGAGTGGGCTCCGATGGCCTTCCATCACTGGAGCCAGGGCCCTGTCCATTCCAGCAGCTGGACGAGCCTCCCGTGCCCCTGCCCCGGCGGCCCCCAGCCCTGGGTGACCTGGCCTCATACCCCTCGGCGGCCACTGCGGAGTCAGGCACAAGCCCGAGGCTGGCTGTGGACTTCACCGTGCCTGGGCCCCTGCCCGAGGAGCTGCCAGTCCTGTCCAGCCGTGTGGATCTGAACGGGGTCACCACAGAGGCTGAAGCCCCTGCACAGGTGGCCTTGTCTGTCACAGAGTTTGGACTCATCGGCATTGGGGACGTTAACCCCTTCCTGGCTGCTCACCCTGCACACCCGGCCCCTGGGCTGCATGCGGAGCCTCTGTCACAGTGAGTGCACCTGCCCCAGCCCCCAGCCCAGCCCCCGCCCCCCAATCCAGCTCTCAGCCCACAGCCCAGTCCCAATCCAGCCACCAACACAGCTCACAGCCACCAACCCAGCCCACATCCTACAGCCCCCAGCCCTGCCCACAGTCCCCAGCCCATAGCCAAGCTAGGGGAGCAGGCAGGAGTCTGCACTGAGCACATCGAGTGGGCTGTGAGTGTTCATGTGTTTTAGTTTTATTCCCTGCTTTTAACTTGGTTTGTTTTTTGACCAGGTGATACATCCATATGGTTCAAAATCCCAAACGGCCAGAAGGGGCTGCTGCCAGCTCCTCCACTGCCCCTGTCCCTGCCCAGCCGCTCCCGGGCACCCTGGACATGGCTGCCCCAGCCAGTCTGTCCACACAGCAGGCCCAAAATCATTTCTCGTGGGGCAGGTAGGGCTGGGACTGAGCTCATGGTGCCTGGCTGCACAGATCTGGGCTGACCTCCAGTTCTCTCCGTCCCCCTGCAGCTGCAACGTGATGACCTGTTGACTGCTGGCCGCAGGCAGGCGTGAGCAGCCTGGACTGGACTTGGCACTGCTGGGGCAGCCTCCGTCAGTCTTCCTGACCCCCTGGGCCTCGGGGCGACGCCTGCTTTGCCTCAGACACTTCAGGACCGGGTGAGGCGGCAGGCTGTGGCCCTCCCTTCCTCCACACAAACCGGACCCAGGGCCACACGGACCTGCATCCTCTGTGCCATGGGGATCTGCTGGGTAGCCGGGCTCACAGAGGGCCCGGCCCTTGGGACACAGGGCACAGCGCCACTGTGTCCTCTGCAGTCAGCCGGGCGAGGGAAGACGCCCCTACCCAGCAGGGGGTGGGCAGGACACGCCTCCCGCACCAGCAGCCCCCTTTGGGCCTCAGCACTCGGCTGGCGCTGCCATGCCTGGCAGGGCCGCGGGGCTGCCCAGCCGAGGCTAGTGGGCAGCCGCCTCTCAGTGCCAAATCCCGCGGGGCCCAGAGCCATATACCTCGCCACCTGCCCCGTTATCTCCACTTCAGGAAAAGCTGCACTTTACGCCTGACTGCCTCCCGCTCTCCAGCCCTGGCCCCCATCTGACCTTGGAGCACTTGGGCGGTGCTTCTGCAGCCTGGGCGTGGGTCTGAGGAGACAGGTGACTTACGCCCCCGCTGCCCCTTCCCCTCATTGCGAGGCCGGGGGCTGTGGAGGAGCCGGGCCATCACCTGCAGCACTGAGGGCCCGGCCCTGTTGGTCTCATTCCGTTGTCCTCTTCTCTCCCTGTTTTATTTATGTTTCGTTTACACATTGGGTGGGGTCCTCGGGGCAGGCAGCTCGCCGGCCCAGGTCCTGCGAGCGTCATGCTGCTCGAGCCCCTCTGCAGAGCCGGACTTGACTGTCCCTCGCCCCACTGAGGACCACACTGTGAAGTGGTAGCTGCCTTGATCCCTGCCCTTGCTGTTTTATTTATTAAACTTGGTTTGAAGCCCAGGGCGCCTCATGGTGTGTTGGGTAGGGGTGGCACCCGCCGGCCAGTCTCGGGACTGGCTCTCTGTTTGGGCTCTGGTGTTCTGACCAAGATGGGTGGGTTGCAGACCGTGGTCCACACCAACAAGGAAGGCGTGGGCAGGTGGCGAGGGGGCCAGTGCATCCGTGAGTGATGTTGAATCTGAGTCTGGAGGAGGATGGGCCTGCTTTGTTGAAAGCCAGAGCAAGTCCAGGCAGAGATTACGGTAGACGCAAAGTGGGAAAGGGCCCGGGTCCCAGGTGGGTGGCTGTGGGCACCACGGGGGAGCAGCTGTAGGAGAGGATGGGCCCAGGAGGAGAGGCTCCTGGTGGTGACTGTGTGTGTGGAGAGGCCAGCCCCCACTGGGGGTGACCATGACCAGGGAGGGCCACGTGTGTCAGGCATGTGGGAGAGCTGAGCATCCCCCAGGATTTGGGGTCTTGCCACTGTCAAGCGGGTGGTGCTGGGAGGTGAGAAGCAGGGCGAGGGTGCCTGGGGTGGGACAGGATGGACTCCAGGGTGGTCTTGGCAGGACGCTCGAGTCTGTCCCCGTTCTCAGTGCTGCCTTCTGGCACATGCCACTGCAGCGGGGAGTCCAGTCTTCCTTTTGCTTTTCCTGACTGTGAAGACCTTATTGCTGGGTTTGGGCGGTTTGATGAGGAGGATGTCGGGGTCCATGGGCAGCCTTGGAGACAGGCTTCGTTCCCACGCGTGCAGTGATTGGCACTGAGGCAGCGGCTTCTTTGCAGCACTGGACAGTGTTCCAATCTGCTTATCCGCTTACCTGCAGACGAGCGTCTCCATCGTTTCCAGGTGTTTACTGTTAGGAATAAAGCTGCTGTGGATGCCCACAGGTATCGTGTGGACACAGTTCAGTCCTTTGGGTAAAGACTGAGAAGCTGCGTTCTGGGGGGAGTTCAGGTGTTTCCTGTTCTCCACAGCCTTTCTGGCTCTTCACTGCCGATCTTCTCGTGAGCTCTCGGTTCCAAGGCAGGGGGGTGCCCTTTGGGACTGCAGTGCCACCTCTACTTTGATCTCTGCATTGCTGGGGGAAGCCTGTGCACGTCTGCGTGGAAAGGCCCCAGTTCCTCCTCCAGTTTCGAAGTGTACATTTGCAGGATACAGAATTCTAGGTGGACTTGTTCCCCTCAGCATTTTAAAGATGTTCTGTGTACTCCTGGCCTTCAGCTTCCCAGATCATGACATGCTTTTCTCTGAAAACCACGTGCACGATTTTCTTTTCATGTCTGGACTTCAGTGGTGGGATTGTGACGCGTCTGGTTTTCCACGTGCAGCTTTCTGAGCCTGAGGGTTGGAGCTGATGTTGCTCTGTTGTTCTCGTGGGCGTCAGCTGCAGGTGTGTGGCTGGCCGGTTACTCTGTGGTTAGAGCGCAGCGCTGATAACACCAAGGTCCAGGGCTCCGTTCCTGCACTGGCAGCAGCCAAAAAAAAGAACACTTCATGGCACAGGTTCTCTGTATGTTTCCTTCTCTCTCTGCTTCCATTTGGCCTGTCTCTGAGGTCCCCAGTCCTCTTTTCTGATATTCCAGACAAGTATCTAGCCCCTCTCACAGTCTTTAATTCACATATTGTGTATTTTATTTCTAGTATTTGCACGTTTTTTCTCCTGCTGAAATTCTCCATTTTTTCACCCCTCCCCCATCTTCTTCATTCTTTAAACTCTCCATAAGAGCTCCTTTGAATCTTTGCTGTTTTGCTTTCTGCTTGGGGTTTGTTAAAGGAGTCCTTTAATTAGTGTGCATTTGGGTCTCACAGGTGCCAGGACTGCTCTGCACACCTCCTAGCCAGCTGGCTGCAACACAGTGCTCTTTTTTTTTTTTTTTTTTTTTTTTTTTTTTTTTTCCG